CCGCTCGCCCAGGCCCTGCCACGGCGACCGGGTGCGCCCCTCGCGGAAGTGCAGCTGGTGCTGACCCCTGACCAGCCCACCCCGCTTCAGGCCCCACCACTGGCCCCGCCCCCTGAGCCAGAGGCTGCAGCGAGGTCCACGCTAGTCTCCAGTTCCACGACATTCCGCCGCCCGCTGGCGTGTCCCGCTGCAGGCCTGGCCACCGGAGCCTGCGCCCAGGGTCCGCTGTGCCCTCAGGGGCCTCGCTAGCAGTTGCAGCACGTCTCACTGATAAGTCGCTTGCCCCTGCCTTCACCCTCCCGCAACGGTGCAAAGCCCGGGACACAGACGTCATCAGCTTCAGGGGTTTTCCCAAAGCGCACTACTCGGTTTCAGATGCAGAATACTACACGTGCGCATGCGCACTCGTAAAGGCAGGGCCTCGCGCTCCGACCCTGCTTCACTGCGCATGCGTCAGGCCAAACCGGAAGTACCTCTGCTCTAGCTGTTTGGGTTGTGTCCTGGCTTTGTTTAGGAGTTGTGGGAATGCAGATTTAAGATTTTTTAGACCCTTGGCCCTAGCAGAACAGGCTATCAAACCATAGACCTTTATCTGGCACTTCCCCAACAGACGCCCTCTCCAAACCTTAGCCCACGTTCTTGATCTTTTACAGCCGGGCCCCACTGAAGCTTTCCAACATCGTCTTACCCTGCTCACCTACAAATGCTAGCTAGTCCCTCATTGAGACCCACCTTCCTCTGTCGACCCTACGAACTTAAGCTTCCCACAGTCAATGGGCCCTATTGGGAACCCCACCCACCTTAGCTGTCTATTTTCATCCACTGGACAGTGACTAGGGATTTTCAAGGGCACCCTCAGACTGCAAGCTCCCAGATGACAGTGTAAATATTCATCCAAGTCTGTATCACCAATGCCCAGCCTGATGTGACCAGAAAGCAGGCAAACCTCTGATAGGCTTGGCAACAAATTTATTAGTTCAGAATAGAAAGAGCAGGAGTCCAACTGCTTTGATTCTTCAGTAAAAACAGCTTCTTCACTGGAGAGCTGCCAGCCTGCCGTCCCCACTCTCCAGACAACTCACCCTCCTATTAAGGCACTTGAAAAAGGTGTTAACAGAAAAGTCTCAGACCCAGCCTCCCTGGATTATGCAGAGGGCCAGAGCTGTCCCATCAATCTCTTCAGCCACAGCTGAGCAAAGAAAAGAGCTGGCAGAGACTTTGGCAGGGCAGAAGTCCAGCCTCTCAAATGCTGGTGTTATGCATGAGGGCAATGCCAGCACCACAGAAGAGCTGGTAACAGGAGCATCATTTTGGCTCAAATGTAAATGAATCCATGATTTGAGGAAGACACTTGATAGTAAGGCTTTGTGGCCTCCAAGGCCGTAGCTCCAGCCTGTCCCTCTCTCTAGGAGAGTACTAGAAGCTGGAGGGTGGGGCTGGGGGCCTCCAGAATTCCCTACAGAGAGAAAGGAGCTTAACATAAGGATAGAGGAAGGAAGAGTTTGAGTCCTCCCAGCTCCCCCATTTCCAGAGAAGTTAATGCTTCTGCTTAAGCACCTCCAAAATGAGAGATAGAAAGATACTGCCAATAAAAGAGTAAATACACCCTCCTCACCACAAAGACATCACCCAAAGAAGTTGGGGGCAGTTGGAGCACATACACCCCCAGAATCCATAAGTGCTTGCTTTGGGAGGGCTTTAATCTCCTGCAGCCCACTGCTAGGGGCAAGGCAGGTGTCACTCCCTTAGGAGCTGATCTGACTCAGAAGGGCTGAGAAGTCCATGTCTGCAATGGAGGAGAAGTCTTCATCCCCTGAGAGAAGGCCGTTGGGGAGCCCAGAGGCCCCAAGGGGAGCGGGAGCTGGGTCAGGGGGATTCTGGGACCCTGTAACCAGGCGTGTTATAGCCTCAGGGTACTCCATCAGCATGGGCTCCGCTGTGTGTGGGGCCATAGACACACCCTGGTTCAGCATTTGCTGAAACTCAGAGTTGTCGACGGATGCCAGGTCTGTGAACACGGCTGGGTCAGTGTTATTGCCCAACAGGGCCCCCAGGTCTTCATCAGCATCAAACTGCAGCTGTAGCAGGGCCTCCGTCAGTGTCCCTTCCCCTGCCTGGGTGGGCTTGGGGGCAGGCGGGGCTACAGCCTGAGCAAGGCTGGAGGCTAGGACTGGGACAGGGGCTGGGGCCTGAACCAGAGCTGATGCCATGGCTGGGGCAGGGGCTGCTGCCAAGGCTGAGGTCTGGTTTGGGATCTGCCCAGGAGAGAAGACCATGGGGGAAAACTCCTCAAAGTTGATGGTGCTGAGGGATGGCGTAAAGGCATAGGGCTGGGGTGCTGGAAGAGAGACAGAGACAGGAGTCAGAGAAAGCATGAGACCCACCCCGTCCTCTCTGTACCCTACCTTATCAGTAGTGCACAGGATCACCCTAGCCGGTTTGACTCAGTGGTTAGAGCGTTGGCTCGTGGACTGAGGGTCCCACATTCAATTCTGGCCAAAGGTATGCACCTCGATTACAGGCTCGATCCCTGGCCCTGGTCGGGGTGTGTACGGAAGGCAACCAATCGATGTGTCTCTCTCACACTGATGTCTCTCTTTCTCTCTCTCTCTCTCTCCCCCTCCCGTCCACCCTCTGAAAAGCAATGGAAAAAGTATCCTCGGGTGAGGATTAAAAAAAAAAAAATAGCGCACAGGATCAATCCCTCCCTGTGCAGTCATGCCAGCACCCTCTGCCCAACCTGACCTAGCCTGTGGGGTCCAGTTCTAGCCTCACCTCCTTGCAGCCCTCTCCACTCCAGCCCTGAAAGCTCTCCTAGTCTTTTAGAAGGATGCTTTCAGAGATCAGCTGGTAAAATGTGATCTTACAGCTGAAAAACCAAGCCTTAAGAGGACATGGGCCCAAGGAGTGCCCAGTGAGTGTAGCCTGAAGCAGGGCACTCTTTTTTGAGCCACACACGAACACATATATTTTGCTATTTTAGACGTGACCTTTTTGTTTCCCTAATTCAACTGAGAGCTGAGGGCAGAGACTGTAACAGCTTTTTAAACTCTGTACCCCTAGGTATCTGATACGGAGTTTTTAACTGGCACAGTGGTTCTCAGACGTCAGTGTGCATTGGCATCCCCAGGAAGTAGCTGGGACCTGGACCACACTTCTGATTCCATAGATCTGCAACGGGGCCCAGGAATCTGCATCTTTACCACTCTCCAGATGGCTCTGGCACAGATAATCAGGTCATGCCCTGAGAAACATGAGCCCGACACACAGCAGTCCTCAGACACCTGCTGGTGAGGTTGAACTGCTCTTTTCTCTTCGAGGGGGTGTAAACCATAGGCTGAACAGATTTGAGCCTATAGTTCCTGTGGGACTACAGGAAATCCTTACCAGGCTTAGGGATGGAAGTTGAGCTACGGGAGGGCACAGCAATGCGCCGAGGAGGTGGCCGGGGGTCCGTGGGTCCTGCGGAACAAGTCTGGGTCAGTTCTTGGCCTCCAGGGATCTCCCCTCCTCCACCCACTACCTTCTCTATAATTCTCCCCACTACCCATCTCACCATTGAAAGGACTCTTTTTCATGATGCTCTTGAAGGTCTCATATGTCCTTTTGCGTTTCTCCTCAATCCGGTGACGATCATCTGGGAAAGTAACAGGGAAAAGTGAGTCTTGCTCTTCTCAGCTACACCCTCAAGCTCTCAGAGCGCCCTGAGGAGGAAGGTGATGAGCCAAGCTTTCCTTAGACCCTTTCTCCAAACCTTCCGAGTCAACGAGAAGAGCTGCGTGATACAAGAATCCCACAGCTTTCTGAGAAGGCCTCTTGTTGTCTGATCTGTCACCTCTGAAGGGCACATGAGTGCCTCCAGGCAAAGGGGCCATGCTCTGGGAGAGCAGGAGCCCTCACGGCGCCCTAATCTCAGCTTATTCTTACCTGCACTGCTCGCATCCCAGCTCCCCTCCAGCCTCGCTCCAGGCCTGGCGGTGATGTCTCTGCACTCTGGGGCACTGAGGCATTACAGGCTTACTTAAGGCTTCCACAAGGGCTCTTATTCTCACCTCTGATGGTTTGATAGTTGAGTCAGAGCTTTCAGAACTGTCTTCCTAACTACAGCAGCACTTGGGTAACTCCGAAGTACTTAACACCATCAGTCCAAAGCCAGCCTCATCATCTCTCCTCAGAAACCTGGCTTTCTCCTCCTGTGTTCTCTCACCACCTGTCTGCCCTGTCACCAGAGCGAGAAACCTTGGACTCATCCTCACCATCTTCCTCTCACTGCCACTATTCACTAACTTGACACATATTTACCAACCACCTGCTAGGTGCCAGGCTCCATCCTAGTCACTGGGGATATGGCCCTGAGTAACCAGACAAGGTTCCTGCTCCCGAGAGTCGACACCCTAGTGACAGAGGGGCAGGGATACAACCATATACAAGAGATAAAAGCACTAAGGAAGAGACACGGGGTGATGATGCTAACAGTGCCGAAAATGAGGTCAGCGAGTCTAGTTTAGAGGTGGCCAGGAAAGCACTGGTGGAAGCCCAGGTGGAAGCCCATCACATGAAGGTTGGGGGCCAAGCACTTCAAGCAGAGGCAACAGCTAGAACCCAGGTCCTGAGGCGGGACTGAGCTTGGTGCGGGGGATGCTGACAGGTAACGGAGGACAGCAGTCATGATATCATCTCTCTGGCTATTCCCTCTGCAAGGTTCACGCCGCACCTTCTCTTCCTGGACTACTGTGACATCTTCCAGCATGGCCTCCCCTCCTCCAGCCTCTCCCTCTCAGATCCTCTACTCACCGCTGCCAGGCTGAGCTTCCAGATCTGCTCATGTCACTTCTCTGCTTATAAATCTTTGGTGGCTGCCCACTGCCTTCAGGATGAAACCCTGGATGAATGTCTTAAGCCTAACATTCTAGGCTCTCCTGCCTGGGCCTGTTCACTGCCCAATGTCACCTCCCACCACAGAGCTGCCCCCAAACACGCTGTGCATGCTCCGACACCCCTGCTCTTCCACGTGCTGGTCCACCTGCCTAGGGAGTGTGCCTCTATGTCTTTCTTCAATTTACACGGCACCTCCTCCATGCAGCTGTCTCCAGCACATCCCTCCCTCCACTTCGTATGTAACTCTGTGACTTAAGGATCTGTTTTGCATGTGTCTTTCTCATGTGACTGAACTTCTGGAGGTCAGGGAACAAGTCTTATTCATCTCTATATTCACAATACCTGGCACAGGCCCTGGCACCAAGTGGGCTCTCAGTAATTACTTGTGGAATGAACTGATGGCTACTTTGGGGTTGCTTTCCAACTGTATTAGATTGCTCTTAGGGTAGAAAACACTCTCCGGCTAGATACAGGTACTGGAGAGAGGATCATTCTGGCTGTTCCTACTGTGGTCAGATACCCAAAAGCCTGGACCAAACCATGGCTGTGTGATGGTGACAAGAAACACAGTGTGGCAATAGGACCCTGCAGCCAGACAGCCTGGATTCAAGTGCTGACTACGATTCACTACCTGTGTGACCTCAGGCAAATTAGATGCTATCTCCTATCCCAAAAGGCTCCTGAGAGAATAAAATCAGGTAATTCACTGATATGCTTGAAATAGAGGCAAGCCGTTTAACAGGAGCTCAGTAAAGCTGGAGATCATTATTACTAAACAAGGCAAGAGAGAGAACCTGGTTACTGTGTAAATTCCACCCAGCTCCAGCTTTTGACCCTCAACTATGGCCCCAGACATCCAGCCGTGGCTTCGCTGTCCTCGGCTGCTGTGTACCTGTGTCTGGGAGGTACTGGAATTCCATGGGCTCACTGAGCTCCCGATCTGAAGGCCGCCGCAGCTGCATAGAGACACGCACTGGGGCCTGCAGGCTAGGGTCCGCATAGGGAGGTGTCCGGAACACAATGGCCACTTGCCGGTGTACATCAGCTTGTGAAAAGGAGCCTCGGGCCTCCCAGCCTGGTCCCGTGAAATACACTTCAATGTCCTCTGCAGGAGAAGGAGTGGCAGTGTGGGCTGATGTGCTCAACTCACCCACAGCCACCGCCCACCCAATCGCTGATATTTGTCCCTTGAGCTCCATCACAGTGCTGCCCCCGCGGTGTTGGGGGGAGCATGTAAAGCCAGCTCCTGACACTTGCCATCTCCAGGCAGCCATTCCCCTCACCTCCTCTTCCGGAGTCCCACCCTGCCTCCTGGAATGTACCTTTCTGCACCTTGTCACACAGCAGGAAGATCTCATCCCCCCCAAGGCAGCTCCCGGAGTTTCGGTTCACTCGGCAGATCTTGAGCTCGGCTGTGTTGGGGGCCCCTGAGGGTGTGGGAATAAGGAAAAAGCCCTGAGCCACCAGAGGTTTCCAGGTGGCCTACAGGAGATCCAACGCCTGGTGACCCCAAAGTCAAGGTTACCCAGCGCTTGCTCATCGCATCTTTGCAGCCAAGGTTCAACCATTCCCACTGGCCCACTCCAACCAATTCAGCAACTAGTTATCTACTAGCCCCTACCATATGCCCAGCACTGTTCTAGAAATGGAGAATGCAACAACCCACGGAACCTAAACATATCTGCCCTCCTGGAGTTACAGTTCAGTGGGAACCAGTCTGGCCACACCTCCTTTCTCCACCTGACCCAAGCAGTCTTCAAGGCCGAGTTTATTACACTCACATGGCAATGAACTCTTCCCTCCTGACCCCCCCCCCCC